TGATGTATAGTGTGCTCCAGATGAAGTTTTCCAATCGACCAATTTTGCAGATTGTTTTGATCTACCCATGAATCGTGAATTTTGATAAATGATGCGGTAAAAATGAATCCTTTCGGTGGTTTGGAGGTTGATTTCGGGCAAAGAGATGAGGATGGAGAGTGGAACAAGATGACAGGAAATTGCGGTGGTTATGGAGAGATTTTAGGGATTAATAAGGTAATTAAGGATGTTTACAGATTGGTTTATGAATTGTACAGTATTTTTAATAGATAAATTGTGGGCGTTAGATTGGATTAAATTAAAGGTCATGATTATTTGTCAAAAATGTTTGTTAAATTAATGGGTAGGAGGAACGGTCCCGATATTTGATTTATGGGATTTCCAAAAGTAGGGCTTTGAATTTTTTGGATAAGGACTGCAAATTTGGTTAATCCGTCTTTAGTGCTGTATTTTGTGATTTTATGGAAAAAAATATATCCTTTCCTGAATGTATTTCTATTTGGGGGCATCTTTTTCTCGTCATTTGTTTTTAGAATATAGTATAATATTATTGTGCATAATATGAACTTTGAGTTTACTGTTTGTGATTTTGGATTGGAGATGACAGAGAGAAGCACTTTATTTAATTATTTATCAATTACATAAACATTACATCATTAGTTATTTAATTAATCAAAAAAATTACATCTTTATTAATAACAAATTAATTCTTAAACAAAACTATNAGTAATATTAATTGTAAGTGATACTCTTGGTGTAGTGATCAAACATTGGCAATAACTCATGTCAAATAATAAACTCATCTTTAGATTGATTTATTATTCACATGGAAATCTTATAATTTCCACATGTTTACCACCACAAGTGCGCATGCAATTCGACCAAATATTAACCTTCCTTTGAACAGGTTAATATTCGCATGAACTAGCATACACACGAAATCCTTCTAATATTCTAAATTAATTAATTTCCACAAGAGATGTTGCTTTGGCAACATATTGTTTCAATCACTTCACTTTTGAATTATATATACTCAAATGAGTCTTTATACCAAAATTTGAAATGTAGAATACTTAATTTTATTTATCTTGAAACTTTAAAGACCTAATGGTTAATAATTCAATACTTTAGGGGTCAAAATTAATTAATTCAAAACTTTAGAGGTTAATAATTAATAATTGGAAAGTTTAGAAGTCAAAAATCAATTATGCGGAACTTTAGGGGCCAAACTAAACCAATTACGAACATTCAGGGGCTAAATTATTAAATTCAAAACTTAAATGGCCCAAATTAATTAATTTCAGAACTTCAGGGACTGAATTATTAAAACTCATAACCTTAAGGCCCAATTAGGATTCACTTTAAACTTTAGGGGCTGAATAATAAATAAATAACTCAACCATAACCCTAATTTTTAATTGCAAGTAGGGGCCTAAAATTACCAAAATTGCAGCACAAGCCCCCGTCCCCAAAAATACCATAACTGAAAATCTTTAATTCCATAACTGAAGAACTTAATGAAGAAGCCCCTTCTTCTTCCTCCCCCTTCTCCCTTGGCGGCGCAAGGCCAAAAATGGCCGAGGATGCTGTTATAGCAGCCAGTGGCTGCATCATAATTTTTTTTTTTTTTAAATCAATTCTGAAAAAATCAATAATTCCAAAATCCATATTTAAACATGCTAATTTCATGTAATAACATACCAAATTGAAAATCCATAACATAATATGCTAGAATTTCATAATATGGCATGAAGATCAAATAACCCATAAAAATTCAGAATTTAAACTTCAATTTCTCATGAATTTCAACTATGGAGTGGCTCTAATACCACTTGATAGAAAACACATAAAGGGATTACATATTCAAAACATTAATCAAATCTTTTATCTCATATAATAAACCCTAAATTCATCTCCATGTTGAAATTCGAGAAAATAACTAAACATAAAACATACATATATCCACAGTAATCTGATTCTTTGTCTGGATGGGTTACGATCTTCCAATTGACTGGTGGTCTTCACTTCAATTTTTACTCTCTATTGATGGGGATGTAGAGAATCTCAAGAACACCAACAAATGGAGACCATAACCATATAAAATAATAGTAGTAATTGAATAGTCACTATTTTTCAATTGCTTCAAATTAGTCCCTCATCAATCTAAAACAACACTCCGATCTCTACACTATAATTTCTTGAAATCTAGTGTGTGTTTGGGAGAGATTTTCCCAAACCAAAATCAATTTTTGGGTCACATCAAGCGATCCCACTTTCTGCCATCATTTGACGTATTGTAGAGAATTTGAATAGAAAAAGACCATTTCACCTTCATAACATGTGCAAAGTCTCAAGATTCTCTACTGCAAAGAGGTGAAATTGGAAAATGGGTGTAAATGGACTGATTATCTACTGCAAAGGTGTCAGATTTTGTCAATTAAAAAATGTCACAACGGTCCAATTTTTGATTACCAACGGTCCGAATTAAAATGTTTAGTGCACCCAGACACAACCCTAATACCCATTGGTCCCAATATATCTTTAACGGATCATTTTAATTGACTAATATTTGTTAAATAATAGCACCACACATTTTAATATACAACGTGTGGCCCCATATATGTTGAAAATATCCAACAATTAAAGCAAATTTTGAATGCTAGATATGATTTCATAAAGATCAATGAAAATGCACAATCATCGAATCTTAGAGTTCAGAATTATCTTTGCATATTAACTAATTTATTGGTAGATTTTCTTATGCGTTTAGACTTATAATACATATATATCACAATCATTTCACATGAGGTCACTAATGATACAAACTAAAAATATCTTGAAATCAATCTTAGAGCTTGTTTAACATAGCACGACTCTATATACCGTCAATGGACCCCATATCTGGAAAGAAATTGGCCAAAAAATTTGACAAAAACTAGCTACCGTCTTTCATTATAACTTGAAATGTCAAAAATGCACTGTTAAGAATATTGAATGCAAAAATTTAAGATGCATCATGGTTTTTTGACCTAAATATTAAATTGACTGAGCAAGTGCAGTCAAAAGTGGCTGCTACACCCAGTATTCTCCTTTTTATTGGATTGTTCTTAGAGTGAATATAAAAAAAAATTATGGAGAGTTTCGGGATTGCAGTTATGAGTGTTTTTTAAAATATCGATTTTAAGTGATTTTAGTAGCGATTTTTTTTAAAAAGTCAAACACATACTTGAGAATTTATTATCTACCTATTGAGAAATTTTTTTAGAAGAATAAAATTACATATATGTTCCTTAATGTGAAATTTTTAGTTTATAGTTTTTTGTATGAATTTTTTTATTCATAAGTTATATTCTACTTATAGGTAATTTTTTACATATAAGTTAATATTTACTCAAAATTTTAAGTTAGTATTTTTTACTTAGAAGTAAGTTTTACAATTACAAGTTAATTATACACTTTTAAATAATTTTACACATAACTGTTTTTTACATAAAAGTAACTTTTATGTTTTATAAGTGAATTTTTATCTTGTTAGTAATATTTTTACTTTATAAACAATTTTTTTGACAAAATTAATTTTCATCTTATAAGTAATATTTTACTCATAAGTAATTTTTTAATTATAATATAACTTTTTGCGAATAAATATTTTTTTAGTTAATATATTTTTATTTATAAGTTAGTTTTGAACAAAATATATTGGTTGGAAATAATTATTGTTGTTTTCAAGAGGATTTGAGCGATGACTTTGAAAATTAAACTTACCAACTTTATCAAAATTGGGTAGAGTAACGGCAAAGCACCACAGAAATTATATTAAGGGGCTGTCTGGTGTGGCTTTATTTTGGATTAAAAGCAAAAATGAATCCGTTGAAAAAGGTCAAAGGGTCCCACACAAGAAAGAATTGGTCAAAAAACTCATGCTCAACGGGCAAAAAAGGAGTTTTTTTTCCTGCAAAAATCTTGCCCAAACAGGGCCTAAAAAAGCTTACGAACTTGGACAAAGTAATACCAAGAAAGAGAAAGCAAATTTGAGGCAAGAGCTGAACTCTTTGTCCTTAAATCGAATTTGTCTCGCAATGATGCCTACGGATGATGACAATCAATTCCCAAAATACAACGACTATCTTTTCATGTTTGTAGACTCCAAAACATAAGAACAACGAACCAAAATATAGGTTTATGTACTCCCTTTGAATGAAATGGAAAAACAATTTTTATCCAAACTTTCGGTTAAGAAATGATAAAGTTTTATGTTATGCTATGACTACATATCATTTGGATGATATAATGGACATTCCAAAGGTCTTATTTATAGAAGAGGAGATGTTGTGAGTGAAGAAATGCGCCTCAATACTCAGCAACATTTGCCAAGAGTCACAGCCTTTGTTGTCGTTCGAGCATCAAAAATAGAGAACATGTCGCTAAAGCTCTAGGCAAGCGGTGGAGTTAGACAATTCTCTACCAATTTTCCTCTCTTTCCTTTCCAACTTTGAACATCAATTTCTCATTCATCCGGAATTAATTTTGAGATTTCAAATATACTACAATGATCTGCTCGACGAGTAAAACAATTTAGTCTATTTATTTCCATAATTTGACTATCGGGTCAAGTCCGAATATTTGATCGAAATTGACGCGAAAATCACTTTTCCATGGTTTTACACTTAACCAATTCCAACAATTATTTCATGAAGGGTAAAATTAGAAGAAAATATAAGAAACGGTGAAAAACAGCCAATTTGGTGAGTTGAGAAAACAACTAAAAATTACAATACGCCCTTTTTTGGTAGTTTTTAAACCATACAAAATCTGAGCCCAACAAACCTAACAAGCACATGTTCTTCCAACCCCTCATAAACGGTGTCACTCAAAATCGGTGAAAAAAACTCCCAAGGCTCAAGGTTTACTTTATTTTATTAACATTAATCTTACTCTTTACGTAAGCATTTCATTTCTTCCACCTTTGTGATTTATCTGCTTCTGCTTCAGTAAAAGTAATGGAGTATTTTTCGACACATTTCCATCCCAGAATCCGTATTCTTTGCATAATTGTAATCCTACAATCTTCTACACCATTGCCCACGATGGGAAACGAAACTGATAGACAAGCTTTATTGGATTTCAAGAATGGAATAAATCAGGATCCGTTTCAGATCATGACGTCCTGGAATGATTCAGTCCATTATTGCAACTGGACTGGAATTACATGCAATCCCTTCAATGGAAGAGTTAGAATTCTTAACCTGACATCCTTAAATTTGGTTGGCTCCTTACCGCCTTCTTTAGGCAATCTTTCATTTCTCGATGGTATAAACCTGAGAAGGAACAGTTTCCAGGGTGATATTCCTCAGGAAATTGGAAGATTATTGAGACTGAAACATCTCAATTTAACATACAATTCCTTCACTGGAAATATTCCTTCTAATCTCACGCACTGCACAGAACTTACAGTTCTTGCTTTGGAAGCTAATCAGCTTGTCGGGCAGATTCCAGACCCGCTGAACTCCCTGTCAAAGCTACAGGCCCTAGGCCTGGGACATAACTATCTTACAGGAGGATTCCCTGCCTGGATAGGAAATTTTTCATCTCTTTCCCGAATTTCACTTGCTCTTAACAGTTTTCAGGGTAGTATACCTCAAGAAATTGGGCGCTTGTCGAGGTTGGAATTTTTTCAGATTTATGGAAATGAATTCTCTGGTACAATTCCTGCGTCCATTTATAATGTATCATCTATCAGTTACTTCTCAGTTACTCAGAATCGTTTGCACGGGGAACTCCCACCAGATATCGGTTTCAACTTTCCAAATCTTGAAGTATTTGCTGGTGGCGTAAACAATTTCACTGGATTGATACCTGTCTCGTTATCAAATGTTTCCGGGCTTGGTTTGATTGATTTTGCTGAAAACAAGTTAACAGGGACAGTGCCAACAGTTCTTGGAAGCTTGACAGGTTTATACAGAATTAACTTTGATGATAATAAACTTGGAACCGGAAAAAAAGGCGATTTAGACTTCCTTAATTTCTTAACTAATTGTACAAATCTTGAAGTTTTGGGATTGTCTGAAAATTTCTTCGGTGGAGAATTACCTGATTCAGTAGCCAACCTTTCGACTAAACTCGAAATACTTACATTAGGGGGCAATTTAATGCGTGGAAATCTTCCTGTTGGTATAGGGAATCTTGTTAATTTGACGCTATTAGGCCTGGAAGGAAATTTCTACACAGGAAATATCCCTGACGACATTGGCAAGCTTCAAAACTTAGGGGAATTGTATTTCACTGGTAATGAACTCTCTGGCCTGATTCCGGCTTCTCTTGGTAACTTGACATCGTTAACTAGACTTCACTTGGAGAGCAATAAACTCCAAGGAAACATACCTTCAGAAATAGGAAATTGCAGAAGTTTAATTGAGCTAAACTTTTCTGATAATAATCTTACTGGAATTGTACCGAAGGAGGTCATGAGTCTCTCTTCTCTTTCAATCGTTTTAAACATGGCGAAAAACGCATTGTTTGGTTCATTACCAACTGAAGTGGGCAGGCTGATAAATCTGAAGGAATTGGATGTTTCAGAAAACAAATTATCAGGCAATATACCCAGTAGCCTCAGCAGTTGCCTAAGTTTGGAGCGTTTGGATATGCGCAGTAATCTGCTTCAAGGCCAGATTCCTGAAACTTTGGAAGCATTACGAGGCTTGGAGGAGATAGATTTATCGCATAATAACTTTTCTGGCAAAATTCCAAGATTCTTCTTGAAGTTTTCAACTCTCAGAAAACTAGACCTTTCATTCAATAATTTTGAGGGCGAAGTGTCGAATGAAGGGATTTTTCGGAATTCAAGTGTGATTTTTGTCGTGGGAAATGATAAACTATGCGGTGGAGCTCCAAACTTTCATCTGGAATCATGCTCGAAATCCACCACTCACTCATCAAAAAACCTAGTTGTGAGAGTAATAATCCCCGTCACTGTTTGTACAATAATCTTCATTCTGTTTATATGTTGTTTTTCTGCTTGGTATGTATTGAGGAAGTCGAAAAAGCAGCAACTTGAGGCTTCCTCTTCAGAAAATCTGCAATTATACAATTCATACCAAGAAATATTTCAGTTGACTGATGGATTTTCTGAGGACAACTTAATTGGTTCAGGTAGTTTTGGTTCAGTATACAAAGGAGTCCTCTGCGAGAATGGAGTGAATGGTGCAATAGTAGCGGTGAAAGTATTGAATCTTCAACAGAAAGGAGCCACCAAAAGTTTCATGGCTGAATGTGGAGTTCTCAAAAGCACAAGGCATCGAAATCTCCTCAAGATTATAAGTGCTTGTTCAAGCGTCGATCGTCAAGGTAATGAATTCAAATGTCTAGTTTACGAGTTCATGATCAATGGAAACCTGGACGAGTGGCTGCATCCAACACATCTTGCGGCATACCAGACGAGGAGTTTGGGCATCTGTGAAAGATTGACAATAGCCATAGATATTGCTTCTGCTCTAGATTATCTGCACACCTATTACCACACACCAATAGTTCATTGCGATCTAAAGCCAAGCAACATACTTGTAGACGAAGATTTGACTGCTCACGTTGGAGACTTTGGATTGGCAAAGTTTCTCCACAAAGCTTCAGAAAATCCGGAAAATCGTGCCATATCATCTGAGTTGAAGGGTTCGATTGGTTACATTCCTCCAGGTAAGTTCACCGTCCACATAATTTAATCACTACCTGAAAAACTTACATTCGCAGTATTGCACAACACCGAATATTACAATGGACAGAATCTGAACCTTTTTATTTGCCAAGACTGTCTATACTGTACAGCCCATCTCACCAAACAAACCAGCAAACTTCATACCTTGAATTTACACTTTCTATTGTCTTTAACACATATAAAGAAATGACACTTGGAAATTGATTTTATTTGCAGAGTATGGTTCAGGCAGTGAGGTTTCCAGCCTTGGAGATGTTTACAGTTTTGGAATAGTTTTACTAGAGTTATTTGTAGGCAAAAGACCGACTGATGATATCTTCAAAGATGGTATGACCATACACGAATACGTAGCCAGAGCTTTGCCTCAACATATTATGGAAATTGTCGATCCATCATTGCTATTGGCCAAAGAAAATGACAAGAGATACGAGATAGAAACAGCTGAAAGAGAAGAAAGTGCGATTTTATACCAAGATGACTTCCAACTTTTCGCCAGAGGACGAATCGAAGAACTACTGATTTCAGCGTTGGAAATTGGACTTTCTTGTTCAAACTCATCGCCAAGGGACCGGATGGCAATGAATACTGTTATGAATAAACTTCATTCAATCAGAGACTCATTTTTGAAGATCGAGAAAACAGAAGTATAAGATGAGTTCATTACACATAAAGGGGAAAATATTTGCTTGTTGGTTATGCGCTACAAGGTTGAATTTAGCCTATGCAGAATGAAGTTGTTGTCGACTAGTCAATAGGCCATTCAGGATTGAGGAGTCACGAGATAAACTAGAGCAATCACCAGGAGAAAGAGGACACAGTTGCGACACATTCAGGTCAAGTCAGATCAGTATGGTTGCTGCTGAAGTAAAGCAAAGTTAAACAAAATGAAGTAGGCAAAAATAATTCAAAGCATAGAAGAATTCATTTTTTTGTTTGTTTGTTTGTTTTTGTGGTTTTGTACTATTTATATTTAAAATGGTTTCAAGCAAGCATACATTACAAAATATTGACTCAATCGCTATTCAGAATTAGAAAACCTAAGTTATTTCACCACGAGTAATAGAAAGAAATAAAGACACGCAAGAATTGTAGAGGTTCGTCTCAGCATAAGACTACGTTCTCTTCCGTAGCTGCACCAAATTACTATGATGAAAAGAAGTTTATATGAAAAAATCGCACTCCTATCTTCTCTCTCTCTCTCTCTCTCTCTCTCTCTCTCTCTTACGATGGTAGTACAAAAATTTAATGATGACTCCCTATTTATAAGATAAGTTAAAACAAAATCAAAATTTACAAGAAAACAAATTTCTAAATTATCCGAATAAAATCAACTTTTATATCAATAAGTACAAATACTATGTTATCAATAAATTAAAGTTTTAAATTTTAATATATGGTTCATGTATATATTAAAAAATTTATATAACTACAGAAAATTTTTAAAAATGTTGCCGGGGTGATCGCTCCTCTATACCTACTCAAAAATATGCTCACTATGCTATGCATAACTACTTCATAATGTGTGAATATTAAGTTCTTGAATTAACGTATGTGATTTTTTTTGCAAATTTTAATGTATCTATTATTATTATTATTATTATTATTATTACAGTGTATGTAAATTTTTTTATAATGATTGTAACTTATATTTTATGTTAATCATGAACAAGTGTAACGTAATTTTTAAAATTTGAATTTGGAAATGGTAATTAAATAGTTTAATTCATATTACAAAATATGCAATAATTATATTATATCTCGTGTTGTTTGTGTGTAATTCATATTACAAATTGCGTAATAATCATATTTAACCATACATGTAGAGACTAGAGATGTTAATGGGGGTAAATCTGCTTCAAGCAAAACTTAGAACTTCTTGTCCAAAAGGAAACAACTAATTTAACTATAAACGCATCGCCGAATCGCGGGATCCGGAAAATATTCATACTAAACAATGTTAAGGAAGAAAAACCGTCTAATTTCACTGGATCGATACCTGTTTCGATATCAAATGTGTCCAGCTTGGCCTGATTGATTTTTGCTCTAAACAGGCTAACAGGGAGGGTGCCAACAGTATGTGGAAGCTTGACAGGTATAAATTGATTCTATTAAACTTTGAACCTCGCAAACAGGCGATGAGGACTTCCTTAATTTCTTAACCAAGTGCATAAATTCGGAAGTTTTGGGATTGCTTTCAAATTTTTATCGTGGAGAAATGCCTAGCCAATCTTTCAAAAGCTGGAAATGCTCAATGCATGGAAATCTTCCTGTTGGTATAGGGAACCTGTTTAATTTAACCATTTTACGCCTGGACGGAAATTCCTATATGGGAAATATCTCTGATGACATTGGCAAGGTTCAAAATTTAGGGGAATTGCATTTACTGGTAATGAACTCTCCAGCCTGATTCCGGATTCACTATATCATCTGAGCTAAGGGGTTCAATCGGTTACATCTCTCCAGGTAAAATCAACATCCAGATCAATTGATCAATATTTGAGCTAAACGCGCCATGTGTATGTTTCGTACACAGTATATAGGGGTGTCACATACTAGACTATAGTGGGCTGGTGCCCAGCAATTGCCCGGGTATAGCCCCCTATATTTTTCATTTTCAGGTCACAGCACAACCCGAACCACGTAGGCATGCTATCCCACAGCCCGTGGTCTGATCCCTTTTAAAACCTCAATACTTCTTTTGCTTCTTTAATACTGTCCATATCCTTATCTCCACACACTTCTAGCCACTGATTCATTAACACCTCAAGAAAATAACACGCACACACAAAGTGGGAGCAGTTTCTTTCAAAAGTTTAGAGTAAGATCAAAAGTGGGAGATGAAAACCTTAACAGGCTGATGTTTGAAGATTTTTTCATGCAAATATAGAGAAAGAGGCATTTGGTGCCCCACAGTTGTTTTTCTGGGCAGACCAGAAACTAGATTTCTTGAAAATCGGAAGGATGTTGATGTTAGATTTTCACTCTGTCTTGTTAGAACTTTATTAAAACTTAAA